GCCCTGGGTTCGATTCCTCAGCACCACATAAGCAAAAAGAAAAAAGCCGGAAGTGGCGCTGTGGCTCAAGTGGTAGAGCGCTAGCCTTGAGCTGAAGAGTTGAGGGACAGTGCCTAGGCCCAGAGTTCAAGCCCCATGACCGGACCCAAAAAAAAAAAAACCTATATAGTCCTGTAACTTCGTAACTCAAATCTCTTACTAATATAAAGTTTGACAGAGCTTTCCATTAGGTATGCCTTGCAGTTTTAATCTGAGATCATTACGAAAATTGATTTTAACTCATTTTCTTGGGTTATGATTGGTAATATAAAGTTGCAAGAGAACCACTCAGCAAAGTTTGCACTGCTCTCTTTTTACTCCAAAAGAACAGTTGGTTGAAGAACTGTGGCATCTGAATTATTAAAAATAGAAAATTAAGCCCGGGACAGGTGAGGACTTTGGGCAAGTAAATGGGCCTGCTTGATCTCACATTGATTTTAGCATGCAAAAACTCTAAGGAAGGTTGACCTACTGCATGAAGTGATGGAATGAGCAGTAAATACCAGGCCTATATCAACTAGAAAAGTTACTAGATCAACGAATTGTCGCAAGGTAGCCAAATTCTCCATATTTATTTATTTTGCTGGTCCTGGAGCTTGAACTCTGGGCATAGTTTTTGTGCACAAATTTAGCACTCTACCACTTGAGCCACAGCTCTAGTCTTTTTCCCCCCTATAATTGAGTGGAAGTAAGAGTTTCATGGACTTTCCTGCCCAGGCTGGCTTAAAACTGTGATTCTTAGATCTCAGCCTGTTGAGTAGCTAGGATTACAGATTTGAACCACTAGTACCTGGCTCATCATGTTCTTTTTTTTTTGGGTCTGGTCGTGGGGCCTGAACTCTGGGCCTGGGTGCTGTTCCTCAGCTCTTCAGCTCAAGGCTAGCGCTCTTCCACTTGAGCCAGAGTGCCACTTCCGGCTTTTTTCTTATGTGGTGCTGAGGAATTGAACCCAGGGCCTCATGCATGCAAGGCAAGCGCTCTCCCACTGAGCCACCTTCCCAGCCCCAGGCAAAGGCATTATAGCTGAGGATACAGCTCAATGATAGAGCGCTTTCCTAGCTTGTACCAGGCCCTGAGTTCAGTCACAGCAAACATGCACATACACACAGCATTTTGGCTTTTAATGAAAGTGATTAATGTTCAAATTGAAGCAATGCTACTATTAATTCATCAAATCTACAACCAAATACCAACTCCAAATAAGCTTTAAAATAGTTAGGTACGTAGATACCTTAAAAATATTCTTTCTGGATTTCTAATATGCGAACAGATATTTGACTCACAGAATTACTAAGACAAGTGTCAAAACATTAAAACTCAATTTAGAAGTGAAAAACACAAATCTGACCATGATTTACATAGATCTATATAATTATGTCTACTATATGTACATATTTTATATAAAATTACACTAGTGTATAAATACATAGTTTTTTCCAAATAAATATTTGTTATTCTGAGTTGGACATCATAACAATGGAAAAATTATAATCACAGAAATTGCAAAATTTATGAAAAATATACCATATTTTCCCATTGTGTTTTTGTTTCTTAATCTCTAAAAACAAAGAGAAAGGTTGGTCTTTAGAACATATGCAACTATCTGGTGATGTGGATGCAAAATTCAAGCCAGAAGAGCATGATGGTTAGTACACAAAGTACACACTTGTGAGGAACTTCACTTTTTAAAAAGTTCATGATTTCGGATTTTTAGCTCCTTAAGATTTTACTGAGTAGATAAAACTACAATAATGAATTTCAGTCATTTATAGTGACACTCTGTTCCTCTTCTTCAAAGCTACTGTCTTTTTAGCATACCCTCTCATGTACAGAAGCACTGTAAGAAGTAGAAATCAAACTTACTGTGTCTCGTATGTTGGGTTCTTTCTCCTGGAGATCTGAATAATCTTGGTGAAGCTGTTTTAAATTAGGTAAGAAGCACAGCACGTTGCTAAGAGATGACTTTCTCTCCTTAAGTTCTTCATATTTTGTTTGTAGTTGTTTCAGCTGTGGCTGTAACCTAGAATGAAATTATTTTCCCTTAAAATAAATGACATATAATGACAGCGCCTGAGGCCGAGCGACTTGTGTGAAAGCCAGAGGACTCAGTACAGGATCTCTGGCTCAGACACGAGGTCTGTGGGAGCGTTCTGGTTGAACGTGGACACGCAGTGAGTGATCACTTGGGACACTTCCAGAAGAATATGCTTTCCACTCCCAAGCTTCGTCATCAGTTACGTCTTGGGAAAGACTGAATGACAATGTAAGGCGGCTAACATTTTAAATCTCAGCTAGGCACTGCAATTTAATAGTGAAAACACGGGCAAGAAGTCTTCCCCGGTTTCTATCAAAATCTCACCCAGTCCTGAGGTGTAATAAAGCTGGTGGAAAAACTACCATAGCCTCGGGCTTAAATGCTTCATCTCTTGGTAGCTCAGTTCCTTCAGCTATAAAATAAAAAGGCCAACTTGCATTTTATGGCCAATAAAAAAATAAGACAGGCTGTCAATTTTTATTTTTCCAAGGAAAAATATTTTTAAAAAAACTATCTCTAAAACTAACCTTTCTGAGAGTCCTTCCAACAGTTCTTCACACTGAACCCCTGCAGCAGTAGCTGAGCAGACTCATTAGAGAGCTCAGAGGGCAGCAGGCTCTGAGTCAGTGGCCTGCCTGAGTGCTGACACCCACCCCCGCCCCTAAACTCCCATCCACCTAGGAGTGCCTGAGTTACCCCCTGTGCCACGCTGAGGTTTATTCTTACTATGCCTTTCAAAACATACTTCAACTTCTGAAAAAATATCTAGAACGAAATAAGTGTTCAGACTTGTCTGCTCCCCTCGCACTAGCGACAAGCATAACAAAGCAGGACTTACAAAGCTGTAACACCCCATCCCACAGGATGATCATGACAACTGGTGGTGGGCTCATAGATGGAGGACTGAGGGAAGTGGTCTGCCTCAGAAGCTCTTCCACATTACTGTCATTCTTTACATACCTTTCTTTATTTGTCGTGGGGCTTGAATCTGGGCCTGAGCACTGTCCCTCAGCTCTTCAGCTCAAGGCTAGCGCTCTACCACTTGAACTATAGTGCCACTTCCAGTTTTCTGGTGGTATATCGGAGATAAGAGTTTCACAAACTTTCCTGCCTGGGCTGGCTTTGAACTGAGATCCTCAGATCTCAGCCTCCTGAGTAGCTAGGATTACAGGTGTGAGCCACCACTGGCGCACGGCACTTTTAATTTTCTTATAATGACTTCGGCCAATGAAAACTTGATTATGGACCAGACCATACACTAAATTTGAGGACCACTGGACTAAGCAATTTCTCCCTCTTAAGTTTCTGTGGCAGTTTTAATTACACTCTTGACACATACCAGCTTTTCTCTTCTCAAGCTTCCCCCCTCAATCTCCCTAGCGCAGTGCTGAGACCAGAAGGCAGGGCCTTGTTCATGCGAGGCAACTGCTCTATCACTGAGCCTCATCCCCCCATCTCAAGCTAGTGAAGCTCACTAAGAGGGAAAAACATAACTCTCCAGCTCACAAAGCAATCCTGTCCTCAGAGGAGCTCCAAAAACTTCTCATGGGCTTCCAGACTCCTGTGCGCTCCAGTCTTTTTAAACAGCCCATGAGGATCACCCTGGCCTGCAAAAGCCGGCTAGGTCCTCCTGGCACAACACTTGGGAATAAATACAACATAAGAGTTGGGTATGGTGATACACAGATCTAATCCCAGCACTCAAGAGGTCAAGGCTAGCTCAGGTTACAGAACAAAACAAGCGAACAACATAAATAGTAACACTTTCTGTATACCAGCCACCATGAAGCACCTGCAGATGAATTCCCACACCTGCTCAGGTGTAGGTAATATGCCATATACAGAAGCAGGACTGGAAGAAGTAACTTGCTGAAGGTTTTCTAGAAAGTAGCAAGCAGAGGCTTCTTCCAACCCAGACAGTAATTGCGGAGTTTATGCATTAAGTTGTTAATAGGGCTGTCTAGGCCAGAGAGGAGGTGAACTAGCAAAGATCAATTCTAATTTCTCCTGAGCTGATGCATTCTGCAAACCCTGCGGTCACCAGGTGCCCAAGTGCAAATCCTAGTTCTTTTACGTTTTGGGTTTTTATTGTTTGGTTGGTTTTTTTGCCAGTCCTGGAGCTTGAACTCAGCTGGACACTATCCTTGAGCTTCTTTTGCTCAAGGTTAGCACTCTATCACTTGAGCCATAGCACCACTTCCAGCTTCTTCTGTGTATGTGGTACTGAGGACTCAAACCCAGGGCTTCATGCATGCTAGGCAAGGACTCTTATCACTAAGTCACATTCCCAGCCCATGCCTAGCACCGTAATAATGACCTGTAGAAAAAAACACTCCTCCATTGAACAAACTGTATTGTCCTTTTAGGTGAGCTCTCCTACAGGATTTTTCTTTTTAAAAATTATATTTAGTTGTATAAAGGAGGTGTCACTTAACAAAGCAGTACATGAATACAGTACATCCTGATCTGTGTCATCGCCACCCCCAACCATTCTATCCCCTCTTATTCACCCCTCCCTTCCATTTCTTAATTTTGTGGTATTTATAATAAATCCTTGATTGCATTCTCCCCTCCTTCCTCTTTTTATTGTCTACCCCCATTCTCCTGGCCTTCCCCTTGCAAGGACTCATTTTTTGGTGCTTATTTTGTTGGGCTTTGACTTAATCTTTCTAAAAAATTGTATTATTTGAGCTTTCTATAGCATCTATTATAATTTAATTCACTTGGAACTGCTTGCATACCACCCAGTGTGTTTACTTACAGATTCATAGGCACATTCTAGCTACTACTAATGAGAGAAACCATGCAACCTTTTGTTTCTCTGGGTCTGGCTTGCTTTACTTAATGTAATTCTTTCCAAGTCTTTCCATTTCCTTACAAGTGGTACAGTATCATTCTTTTCTAATAGATGAGTAAAATTCCATTGTGTGTGTGTGTGTGTGTGTGTATATATATATATATATATATATATACATAACATATTTTCTTTTTTTTGGGGGGGGTCCGGTCGTGGGGCCTGAACTCTGGGCCTGGGCGCTGTCCCTCAGCTCTTCAGCTCAAGGCTAGCTCTCTACCACTTGAGCCACAGCGCCACTTCCGGCTTTTTTCTTTTTGTTTAAGTGGTGCTGAGGAATCGAACCCAGGGCCTTGAGCATGCAAGGCAAGCGCTCTACCACTGAGCCACCTTCCCAGCCCCTACCATATTTTCTTAATCCATTTGTCCATTAAGGGGCATCTGGGCTGATTCCATATCTTGGCTATGGTAAACAGTGCTGTAATGAACAGGGTTGTACTGTAGCCTTGTTTGTGTTCTATTAGATGCAGATGTCCAGGAGTGGAATGGCTGGATCATAGGGTAGTATGTTCTGTTTTTTTTTTTTTTTTTTTGAGGAACCTCCACACTGCTTTCTAGAGTGGTTGAATAAGCCTTCATTCACAGGATTTTAATATCTTACCGAAGCAATTCATCCTGGACTTCAATCAAACGCTGTCTTTTCTTTTCAATGCTGGTGATCACCTAAGTAATACAATTTCTTGGTTAAATCCATAATACACTGCTACATACTGGAAGTGCAGAGGGAAATAAGATTGACTAGATAGGGCTTAGAAGGTTTTCTTTAGCATTCTGGCGGGAATGTGGAGGTATGCCTTTGAAGGCAACTATGGGACTCTGGCCCCGCACCTAGCTCTCTTTTACTCCCTGGTTCACGATGTTGAGTGGTTTTGTTTTGACAAATGCTACCCTTATGATGTACTGCTTTACCAGAAGCTTGAAATCAGTGGGGCCAACTACTCATCAACTGGGACCTTCAAAGCTCTGAGCCAAAACAACGCTTTTCTCTTCATAAGATGATTACCTCAAGCATTTCATTATGGTGTTGGGAAGGCTAGCAAACAGATCCCTGTTCCTTAGCTTGCATTAATGTTACACACCCAATAAACCACAAGGTCAACTAATGAAAGTCTGACTAAAAAGCTAAGAATATTTTATACAAACTCTAAAGGTTACAAACCCCAAAGTTAAGTCTTTTACTTAATTTCACTTGTTAGTAATGCTTAACTTATCACCAAATGATTCTCTAAGTGACTTACCTTAGCATTCTTCCTTTTCAGAGTTTTCAGTGTCTGGACTTCTTTGAGCTACACAAAACAAAAATAAATCTGTGTATTTTCCAAATATATTTCCAAATACTAATTCAATTCATATATATCACACTTAGTTTAAAAATAGTGTGAGATATGGGCAGTTCTCATGAGTTTATTTTCATATTTCCAGCAAATGCAAACTGTTCTTTTAACAATAGGTGCCATCCTAGGACAGGTCAAAAAACATGTAGCAATAAATTTGTCAGTGGGCTTACCATTCTGATGAGTTCTTCTTTAATGTTAAGGTAAAATTTGGTGACGGCTTCTTCACAAACTGCAGATTTGATTCTTTGTCTGCAAAGCAATTAAAGGGGAAAAGAGTCATCCTAGGTATTACAATGGGTTTTGAAATGTGGGTTTCATTTGCTTAATATATAAACACATCATTTGGCATATATCATTTTAAACCTAAGATGGTGGCAATGTTTGACCTGTACCCCCTTTTAAAGTCCTTTAGGCTTAAAATATAAAATGCTGGCCAGGCACTGGTGACTCACATCTATAATTCTAGTTAATCAGGAGGCTAGGATAAGAGGATCACAGTTCAAAGCTAGCTCCAGACAAGAGAGTTTGAGACTCTTATCTCCAGTTGACCACAAAAAACCCAGGAGTAGAACTGTGGCTCAAATGGTAAACGTGCCAGCTTAGAGCAACGAAGCTAAGATACAATGCCCAGGTCCGGAGTTCAAGCCCTGGCAAACATATACAAAACAAAAACAAAAAGGACTGAGGGACATAGCTGTAGTGGTAGAGTACCTACCTAGCAAGTACAAAAGTACAAGAACTCAAACTCAAGTCCCAGTACACAAAAAAGAAAATACTTCTTGGGTAAAGATGAACACTGGAAACATGCCTCAACCAAACAAAACACAACAAAAAAATATTTTTTCCCAAGTCCTTTGAGGAGCCATCCCCAGCATTGGCTAATTCCACAGCCCAACATGGTTAGAGTCAGTTCTAATCCTTCCTTACTGCCTGCCCTAATGACCAGCAGATCTGACTCCTCCTCTAGCAGCTGGGGAAATGACTGGATGGTATGTTTTAACTAACAACTAGTAAGCAGTCGTAAGTATTTTTACTATCCACAAACATGGAATTTCTTCAATAGTTACTTCCATCAATTTTGTAGTTTTCTTTGTAAGTATCTTGTATCTATTTTGTTAGATATATATCTAAGTATCATGTCTTATTTTGGAGGTTGCTACTTGAAATTTTTTTTTATGTCTTTTTAATGTCAAATTCTCCAGTCCTTACTAGGAATACACAAAAGCAACTGACTTTTATATCTTGCAAAAGCTCAGATGTCATCTGAGGACAAAGACCATTTTGTTTCTTCTTTCCCAGTCTATATTTTCATTTTTCTTGTCTTATTGCCTTTTTCCTGGTCTTGGTTGGAAATCTTCTGGTTTGTCATCATTAAGTATGGTACTCACTATAAGCTCTTGCTGTAATCATATATTGCATGAGTTTATTTATTTATTTTGTTGGTCTTGGAGCTTGAACTCTGGGCCTGGGCACTGTCCCTGAGCTCTTCAGCTCAAGGCATGAACTCTACCACTTGAGCCACAGTGCCACTTCCAGTTTTCTTGCAGTTAATTGGAGATAAGAGTCTCATGAACTTTCCTGCCTGGGCTGGCTTTGAACTGTGATCCTCTGATCTCAGCCTCTTGAGTAGCTAGGATTACAGGTGTGAGCCACTGGTGTCAGCAAGTTTTTTTTTTTGCTAAATTTTGGTGTATTTGAGACTTTCTAAATAAATAATGCTGCCACATAGTACCTTTTAAATATATTAAAAACAATAGCAAGAGAGAAAAACCACTGTGTCCCTATCTTGGGGTTCATTTCACTTATCATCTTATATGTATATAGCTTTTGACCTTTTCTGCTTGTCCTAGATTTATACTAGTTATTGCAAGTAACGGTATAACCCCTGTTTTCACTGTATTTGATGTCGGTGCCCTGCATCTTGTATATACATTTTTCTAATTTGGGGAGGGGAAGGGAAATAACAAAATGTTGAAATAAGGATACAGGTTAACCCACTATAACAATGAGATGTACAAGACACTATGTTAAAAACGAACTTTACAACTTGGGGGGTGGGGAGGGAGGAGTTGAGGAAGGAAGGGATAGTAGGGGAAAAACAAGGGAGGAGGTAACAATGCTCAATAGGAAATGTACTCATTAGCCTATTCATGTAACTGTAACCCTTCCATACAGAATTTTTACAATAAAAAATATAAAAAATAATAATTTCTTCTAAGGACAGAGACCGTTTTATTTCTTTCCCAATCTATACTTTCATTTTTCTTGTCTTACTATGTTAGGTAAAACTTCCAGTATGATGTTAAACAGGAAGGAGACATTCTTGCCTTTGCCTGGTTGGAAGTCTTCTGGTTTGTCATCATTAAGTACGGTGCTCACTATAAGCTCTTGGTAAATATTCTTTATCATGTTAAAGATGCTTTCCTTGATTTTTACTGAGGTTTAATTATAAATAGGTTCTGGGTTTTTGGCCAGTGTTTTTCTTGTACTTATTAACATCATATCAATGCACTCAGGGCACTAACCTCAGTCATCCCCCTCCTTGTCCCTTGCCCAACCTCCTTGCTCTCAGATATCTGCTACAGCCCCCTCGAAGACCTTTGTGCCCTGATACTGTCCATCCAAGGCAGGATTCCCCTATCTTTCTGTCACCAGTGAAATCACCCTTGATCACAGTTGGAATACTACTTGGTACATTCTGATAGGTGTGAAGTATGGAAACATTTTCTTTACCACTCTGGTAAAAATACAGAACAAATTATCCCATTAAGCCAGCCCTGGTGGCTCACGCCTGTAATCCTAGCTAATCAGGAGGCTGGAATCTCAGGACTGCAGTTTGAAGTTAGTCTGAGAAGGACAGTCCACAAGACTCCAAAAAAATAAATAAATCTAAAAAAGCTGAAAATACAACTGTGGCTCAGTAGGTAGAATGCTAGCCTTGAGCAAAATAAGCTCAAAGACAGCACTCAGGCCCTGAGTTCAAGCCCCAGGACTGGCATGCACATACACAAACAAAAAACTCCAAAACCAAAGTACAACATCAGTCATGTTTAAGCATACAGTAGTGTTAACTATACAGTACTGTTGGATAGTTCTGTTTTACAACACATCTCTAGGTTAGTGGTATATGGATGTCTCCAAGGCCGACCAGTATCTTTTAAAGCATTGTTAAAGAAATATCTTCCCTCCACTAGAACTGGAGCAAGCAGTCCGCCAAGCCTTTCATGGTTCTTCCCCAGAGCTCTTGAATGTTCTCTACACAAGCTCTGCCAAATCAGATGCACGAGATGGGTCCCGTGCCCTGGCTCACTGGGGGCATCCTCCTAGGCTGCAAGTCTAACATTCCTGGACATTCTCATGATGCTCCTCACCCTGGTGGCAACACTGATTCTAGAGGCAAATCTCTCTGGGGAGTGTGAGAGGAACTAGACTTGGTTTTGGAGAGAGCCGCGGAATATCCCCAATGTGAATGCTGAGTGGCAGACAGGAATGCCTCAGTTCTCACCATTTTCTGCTTCCTCTCCATCCCTGCCCCTTCCCAGCATTGTGATATATGTAGCCTCTTAGCCCCTGACGTGCCACTCTGGGAACAGATCTATGCCTGATGCCATTCTGTGCCCACCTCCATGCCTGTTGCTCACAGGAGCTGACAGTGACAGCTGTGGCCTTTCTCTACACCCAACAGCTGGGAAAGGGTGGGCAATTTACAACCATTTTAAAAGCAAAACACATCAGATCAGAGAGTCTATTAGAAACATTTAGAACAGATGACCACAAGTCTAATACATGAATACTGGAGTATCATGGAAAGGTTCAAATGTAATGATAATGAAAACACACATCAAAGTCTGTGGGATGAGCAAAAGCAGCACCTTCTTCACGGGCCATTGATCGGCCCAGGCCTCACAGCCAATGACTTACTTATATTGCAGGAAGATTTTCTCAAATGCAGACAAAATAATATCCAACTCCATGATGTCACTGGCTTTCCTTCCTTCTAGACACCAAATATGCATACTCTCAGAAGCATCTAGAATGTTAAGACAAGTCAATTTAATAAACTGATTATTCATGATTTGGTTCTAGATCCAAGCTTCTGAAAGCCTGAAACAAGATGGCCCAAAGCACCCCAGAAGAGCTATCTTCACTCCTTCCTTCCCATCGAAATCCTACTGTCAACCGCTGTGTCTGTATTTACTAGTTTGCTGTTACCCAACATCCACTGGTGATACAGCTCTTCTCCATTTGCTTATTCCCCAAATTTTAATCTGATAGGCCTTGTGTTGAGAACATCATGCTTATTGAGTATATTTGTTTAAAATACACTGGATGAGCAGTCTAGAGATTTAAGTCCCCTTCTGAGCTTCAATCTCACTCATCCTGAGATGAGTTTCCTCAATGGGAAGAGTGGATGAAATAAAACATATCCTGCAAGTGAATGCATTTATGAAGACTATAAATTACTATAAGGTGTGATTATCAGACATTTTCTAACAAACACCCACATTTTCTATATAAAGTTAAATGTCTGGCAGATAAGCCAGCTCTTTTTCCTTAATTAATTCCTATTGCTAGTGAGCTTCCTGATTCAAGTTCAATGCTTCCAGATCCAAGTTCAATGTGTGGCTGTGGTGCATCCATGACAGCTGAAATTCTTTGCTTTGCTATTCTTCCCTTTTCCCCTTCCCTTCAAATCTGGCTTGATCAATAACTAGGACCTGAAGGCGCAATGCTGGGCAGCTCCAAGACCATCGTAAGTGAACTGCAGCTTCTAACTTTCACCTCCTTCAGTGCTCCCTCTCATGTCAACCATCACATGAAACTCTGACTACCAAACCACAGGTGAGCCAAGCTACAGGCACAAAAGAACAAACAGTATGCACAGGAGCTCCAAGGCACAGACATGTGAAAAGAACTCTCAGACCTGCCACCCCAGCCCAGTCTCACCCACTGAATGTGCAGAATGACCCAAAGCAAGATTCTGAGGAGAGCAAATGGTGGTGGTTTGTACATCTGGGGTTGGCAGATTTATTCTGTCCACTACTAGGTAGTAAGTACTGTTGCCTTTGTGATGCATGCCCAGGATCCCAGCTATGGTAATAAGTATAAATAGGGGGATCATGGTAGCCAAATGCAAGATCCTATCTCAACAATAACCAAAACATTCAGGGATGGGGGCGTGCTCAAGCAGTAGAGCACCTATGATCAAACACAAAGCTTTGCATTCAAATCCCAGTGCCACCAAAAACCCCAAAACACTGGCTGGGCTCACTTAAGGCATAATCTACAAATTAAGTCTTAACTTTTTTGTCTTTAAACCTGGTAAGAAGAGTAGTAGCTATATCTCACATGTTTTTGAGGATGATATCAAACAATATGACACATAATCAACAGCCCAGTATTAGTGAAAGCCACTCTTGTTTCTGGGACAAACACATAATACCAATCCAATTCAGCCACCATCCTGTCTCCTGAATCTCTATTCACCTAAGCCCAGTACCAGGATCTTTAGAAAACTAGTAATCAGTAAAAAGCAGTCCAGCTTTTGCAAAGTAAGCAATACCTAAACGGATTATTAATCCAAATCAAATCATCCTTACCTCACAGGACCAATCATTGATTAAGATCTATATATGATCTCTGAATGAAAACATTTTTTGTTTTGACTTAGAATTTGTTTTCTAATGTGAGTTATTTTGCATACAGAATTATTTATTTATTTTTTTTAATTTTCTTTTATTTGTGAACATACTGTACAGAGGGGTTACAATTGCATGGGCAGGATAATGCGTACATTTCTTACCAAGCATTGCAGCCTCCTCCTTTGTTTACCCTTCCCATCCCTTCCCAGCCTCCCCCCTCCCCCCATCCCAATCCTTCTCAGAATTATTTATATATGTGATATAAACATGAACAATAGCTGCATGCTTGCCTTCAGAACAGATTAATAAGAAGGTTCACAAGGATCTGAACACTATGTATACCCCTAACCCCAGAACATTCCCCGCCTGCCTTGTTGTAGTTGCCACTCTGAATTGAGTTTATCATTGTTCAGTCCTACTGCACATGAACATAATCCTAAGCAATGTAAGGTTCTACATGCTTTTGACTGTTTTATATTTATGCTGATGCACTTTTGTATTCTGTTCCTGTGCATGAACATACCACAATTACTCTACCAGCCCTGCATGAAAGGTTTTGCTAGCATGGACAATAATGCTATACTCACATGCATGTTTCGGGGGAAGAGACAAGAACTGCATAAATACACCCACAAATGACAGCTAGGTTTGAAAGCCTGTGTATTTTATTTTCAGAGTTACATGAGAGAGGTCAAAATGGCTTTCAACTTAGTTTTATCTCTATAGCTGTGGTGGCTAAGAGTTTCTACAGATAATCACCAAATTAAATACAGACTTGAGACTCAAATATCCGCCAGTGTAATACAACAACAGGGTGTGTGTCTCACTGTAGCTGGAGCTTTAAATCTCTGGCTAATGACTGTTACACTTTGCATACTCTATGTCCCCCAAAGGCCCATGTGTTAAAGGCACTACAGGGAGATGGTTGATCCTCTGAGAGGAGAGCCTGGTGGGAGGTCTTTAGGACGCTGAAGCATGCCTTTAAAGAGGTCCTTGGGACACTGGCCCCTTCCTCATCTTCAAAATCTCCATGTACTCCCACCATGATGTGCTGCCTTACCACAGGCCCAAAGCAGTGGATGGCCAACCAATCATGAACTGGGACCTCTAAACCGTGAGCCACAGTGAACTGTTTTTCTTTTATAAGTAGATTATCTTAGGTATTTTATTAAGTAACTGAAATCTGACTAACACAGAAATGGAATCTCTTCAACTGCTTGCTGTACTGTTTTGCTCTTCTGTCATAGTCTAATGGTGTCCCATTTCCCCTTTTTCTTTCTTTCTTTTTGTGCCAGTACCAGAGTTTGAACTTAGGGATCTGGCACTTTCCTTTGGTTTGCCTATATGACTAGTGTTACTACTTGAGCCATACCTCCAGTCCAGCATTTTGCTGGCTTAATGGAGTTGGAGTCTCTCAGGATTTTATGCTTGGCTGCCTATGAACTTCAGCAACTCTATTTACCAAGATAAATAAAAACATGTTCACACACACGCGCACACACACACACACACACACACACACACACACACACACACACACACACGGGCTGCCTATGAACTTCAGCAACTCTATTTACCAAGATAAATAAAAACATGTTCACACACACGCGCACGCGCGCGCGTGCACACACACACACACACACACACACACACACACAAAAGTATTAAAAAGTTCATAATGGCTTTACTCATAATAGCCAAACCCAGAAACAATTGCCCATCAATGAGAATGGATAAATTGTGGTTGGGTGACACAATGAATGCTACTAAGCAATAAAAGTGACTCAAAACAGTATGAGTAAATCTCAAAACATTGTATACTACTTGATGCTATCAATATAATATTCTGGAACATGTAAATTAATGGATGATAGAAAAACAATCTTCAAAAAAATTGTCTCTGGTAATGATGGCAGGGACTGATATTCAAGAGTTATGGGGGAGGGGGATCTTTCTAGAACAATAGTGAATTACATACATTTGCATTTTCCAAGACTCCATGGTGATTTCACGCTTAAAAATCTGGGATTTCATTGTCTATACATTTTAATGGAAAGGAAAAAAAACTATAAACCAACATTGAACTCCAGTTAATGATGCATAAACTTAGGGATTTCAGAAGAAGTGTACTATACTTGTAATTTATTTTAAGCTGCCTTAAGAAATTAAAATGGATTAACTGACAGATAAGGGATAAGGCCAATGTAATAAAAGGTACTTTAAAAACTGAAGTAATAGGAATATCAATACAGTAATAATTCTTTCAAATTGGTTTTATGTTGAAATTTTTCATCATAAAATGCTAGAAAAAATGTTACTCAAAGTCATATTTTTAATTTTTAAAAGCAAAATTTTATGAGCTTTCGTAAAAGCTTAGGGATGGATGTTTTTCCTGAACATCTGTATGAGAGACTACATATAAACACTCATCTGGTACCTGAGTCTGTGGCTTCATTTCTTGGTTTTTTCTTTTTGCCTGGAACCACGGTCCTTTTTCTCTGAGTCTTCTACCAAAAAATGAATTTAAAAAAAGGTTTTGTTTTTTTTTAAAAAAAACATTATTAAAAAGACAACATTACTAAACTCAAAATATTTTAGCTATATTTCTCATTTAGGCCTAAATTATCATATTAGTCATATAAATTACATACATAAAACATTAAAAAATTAAAACTTTCATTTGATGAATATCTGTAGAAGGGAAAAAGTGGAAGTCTTATTAAGATAACAATGAAATAGATGGGCAAAGTGGCAATAATAGTAATAATAGTAGTAATAATAATACCATTAGTTGGGGCTGGGAATGTGGCTTAATGCTAATAGAGTGCTTGCTTAGCATGCATGAAGCCCTAGGTTTGATTCCTCAGGACCACATAAACAGAAAAAGCCAGAAGTGGTGCTGTGGCTCAAGTGGTAGAGTGCTAGCCTTGGGCAAAAGCAGCTCAGGGACAGTGCCCAGGCCCTGAGCTCAAGGCCCAGGACTGGCAAAAAAAAAATTAAAAAAAAAAAAAAGAAATAAAATATCAGCAGTGGAAAGGAAGGCAGGCTGAGTGTTCTAGCTCAGCCTGCACTATTACAGAGCAAGACCCTGTCTCAAAAACAAAAGAAAAGTCCACAAAGAACTTCCCAACAAAAAAAAGATAATGTGAATAGAACCAGCTCAAATTTTTATTTAACGTGATATGGTGAAGTACCAGCTCTTATGGCTCTCTGGGAGAAGCAAGATGGCTCTCCTTCAACCTTTGCCCCAAATTCTTTGGTTGGCCACCAAAGAAACTGACATAAAGCAGATCAATAGGAGAAAAGCAGTATTTAACTACTTGCACATGTATGGCACAGGAGACAGGAAGCAGAGTCAGATGACTGAAGCTACATCCTGAGCTACAAAAAGGAATAGGAGGCTGAGGGGCATGTGAGAGTGGGGTCACCAAAGTGATGAAGAAGGGAGGACAGAAGAGTAGGGCGAAGGAACGTGCCCTCATCGTAAATGGTCCCCTGGCAGACCAGTTCCTGCTACAGATACTTTTACTCCACAGATTCCCATTACAGCTGTCAACTTCCTGTATGAAGGCACAGCTTTTAGAGCCACCCTTATGCCTGCAGTTTCTCGGAATAATCAGCTGGAAATGTGCACTTGGGGTGCGCACTTGGGGTGAACTATTCTGGCTCATTTCAGAGGAATGTCAGGAGTCTCCACGCTCTTGTCATGAACAACCATGAAATGAGGGAAGGAGTGGTAACTTTATTTAGACATGACAAGAGGCAACATGGGTTTTCTGAAAAGGGGGAGACTGGGATCCCAATGAGCCCAGTGGATACCTTGCCTCTATGTTTGTGGACAACTTCCAGACAGCTGCAGAGCAGCTGAAGCCCAAGGGCAGCCTGTAATCCCATTCAACTGGAGGGGCAGGCATGGAGCACAGGGAAGCGGAGGCTCCTCGGAGGAGCTGCTCAGACAATCAGGACTCTGTCCAGGAGTCCCTGGGAGGCCATCAGGCAGTGCTGTCTACGTACAGCGTGAGTATAAGAAGTTTCCAGAAAAAGTGCTATATGCGATTAAAGACCTAACAGCCTAAGACAGGAAGTGTTGGGAGAAATTAGATGTAGAACAACTGGTTAATTCCTGTGTGGCAATCAGAAACACTACATTTAGGAATAAAAAGTATAAACTATTCACTCTCAGACATGGTCATATTGCTCTGAACAGGATAAACTCTGGATCTTAGGAGAAGGATACAAAAAGAACTATCTTTTGCCAAAGGATCCCAGTCTATAAAGTGAATTACATTGCAATGCCATTTATAGGAGAGAGACAGAGGACATGCCTACCCAAAAAGGCTCCACGTGGACAGTAATTAACGAACAGCTTGAGAAATTACACTGCTCTAGAGAGTAAGGCAGACCCACCCCAACAAAGCCTAAAAGCAAGCTCTGACCACATGCACCAAGAAACAGAGAGGAAGTGGTTATAAAACTGTAAGATGACTTGAATAATTCTGTCCCCTTGAGCATGGACAGCACCTTTGACAGGATGGCCACTTCCTTGATAATACACAGTGTAGTATTCTGGAGAGTCTCCAGCTGGCTTTTTTTTTTTTTTT